AAAAGAAGGAGTCACCTCATGGAACACAAGATCTTCAGACCTGGGAATGATACTTCTTGAGCTGCCTTGAGCTCATTACACCCTCACCCTCTCTTCTTCACCACTTTACACACAACCTTCTCTCTCCCATTTAACAAGCCCATTTTCCAGGTAGACTCTTCGCCAGGCAGGAAGCTCAGCCTCTACCCCCACGTAGGCTTGTCAAGAAATCTCTCCTGAAAAGAATTCTGTGCAGCCCTGCAGATTTGTGTTCTTTCACCACCACGCCCATTCCCACAACAGAGTTTTTGCCCTTGCTCTTCCTTCTGTTTGGAAGATTTTCTTTCAGGCCTTTGCTGACGGACACCTTTTCATCAGCAAGTAACAGTATTAGGAGATTAAGTAGAGAAGAATTCAGGAACCAAATCCTTTGAGGCCTTATAGATCACCTTAAGGAGCTTTGGCATTATCCTGAGGACCACAGAAAGCCAATGAGGGGTTTTAAGCAGGAGACGATGAAATCTGATTATGCTGGTAAAAGCATCATACCGGCTGTTCAATGGAGAAAGAACTGAGACAAAGGATGGAAGGGAGAAGACAAGACAGGAGGCTATTTATTGGGTTAATAGATTAGACAGGAAATGTCAGTGACTTGGACCAATGTGGAGGTAGAGAGAAATAGCAGATCTGGAAATAAAACTAGCAGGACTTGCTAATGGATGGTTTCATCCATCACTGGGCACATATCCTGTTGGGCAGCAAACAAAAATCCTGCCCTCGTGGAGTATATATCCCAGTAGACGAGTAGACTATTAACTGAAACTGGGACACAGAAAATGTAATATCATTTAAACACATGAAAGGAGAAAGCATTCCAGGTGTGAAAAATGCACAAGCCATGTCTGCAAGATAACATTCATCGGAAAACTACAGGGACATTCCTCGGAGGGGATGTGGAAAGGCCTGAAGGATTCTGGAATTTTCCCTGAAGGCAACAAAAAGCCATTGACCAAAGGGTCAAATTCATTTGAATCAAAAGTGATCAGAGGCTGCTTAAGAAAAATGAGGGAAAATGCTTTACGATCTTAGTCACTAGAAAGGAAGAATTAACATGATCTGGCCACTGAAGCTCAGGATCAAGAAGAGTGCATGCATTTTCCAATTTTACTTAATGGTCATTTTTATTTTGTTAAGCTAACTTTTTGTATAAATCTCTTAAAATGGGATTTTACTCTATTGGAACACCACGGTCTAACAGGACCATTTACTATCAAAAGTGTGTATGCATAAGTGCTTTTATGTTCTAATAATTCCTCCTCATTGACATCCAGGAGGCAAACTTATAATGGCCTTCTCAAATTGGTTAGGAAATGTGTTTTCCAGAAGCAACGGGCTTGCCTAGGATCATTGAAAAGATGAATGGCAAAATAAGAAGTAGCGCACGCAGTCTGATTTGGCTTGCTACATCCCTGGCTGATTGCATGCGACACCCCTCATCAATGCCTCTGTTACTGGACCCGGCAGGAGACTCAGTGCAGAACGGAAACATTTGCAGTTCCACCTTTAAGATCTCAATGTTGCATGAAAATAGTGGCTCAGGCAATACCCACTTTTCCCAGGAACTCTTGGAGATCAATGCGACAGACACATGATCTCCATGAGTAGCATCTAAAGGCTATCCCACAGTCCTTACCATCTGGGTAGCAAGTGCTTCTTCTCTTTCCCTGTGGCTGGTACCAAGAGCCACTGGGAAGGGATCCTTGGCAGATTCTGAGATGCTCCAATGAGAGCTCTGTCATGAAAGTGACCGTGACCTTGACAAGTCAAGGTCACCTAAAGGAATCCTACGAAGGAGAAGCAGAGCAGGAGGCCAAGGAACAGGTCTCTGTGCAAAAGCCCCAGTGAAGCAGTTCTGGGCTCCTCCAGGACCTCTGTGACGTTAGCCCAGGTCCCCTCACTCCCACCAGCAACCGTCCACTCAGGAAGGATGTGAGAGTCTTAGTTCTTGTTGTTTCCAAATGCTCCTGGGAGGAAACCCTTCTATGGCTTCTTACTAAGTTCTCACCTGAGTTAGCAACAGGGACACAGCATCCCCAACACCAGATTCTCTGTTTTGACATTTGTCAAATATCTTCCTGTCCCTTCAGACCTGGGAATGATACTTCTTGAGCTGCCTTAATTTTGACTATTTTTCTGCACTTTGGGGATAAAACCCAGAGAAGGGAAGGGAAATATGCAAGTGAACTTAAACAACAAAAGAGAAAGAAACAAGGAAAACCTTAGCTATAAAATGGAATTGCACAAAAGTACTCAGAGGAAATGCAAAGTCAAGTCATTTCATACGGGCCTCAAGTAGAAAAATGGAAGATTCTTGGAAGGTTATGGGACAACAGACAATTTCACAAGTAACTGTGAGGAGACTGTGAGGAGGTAAACCATGGCCTCCACAGACTCCAACATGAGCTGCCAAGGAGGCAAATGGCTGCTTCTCTCGGCTGGAGTTAGACACTCTCATTGCCAGTGACACGAACAATTACTCTGACATCTTTAATCAGCTCCCTCTCTCCAGCTTGACTCTCTGTACACATCTAACAGACATCTGACCTTTAGCTACACTTTGCCATTGCCCTTTGTTTTTCCAAAGCGCATAAACCTCGGTGCCTGGTTTCATTTTTCCTCCCTTTGGGATGGGCTGATCCACCAGTTTTGCTAACCCAGTTGGGGGCAGATAGAGCAGATCTTATTTAAGGTACTTCTCAGGTCTATGTGCAAGCAAGACCAAACAAATTTTTTAAAATTCCCCTTAAAGGAAGGGGTAGGGAATTGGATTAGCAGGAAGCATAATGGAACATTTTCCCCCTTATCTTTTTAAAGCAACTATTTCAGGAGACATCCCTCTGCATCTGCCATGTGCTCCCTGAAGCCTTGCAATAGGTTCAGTCATGATGCACAACTCACACAGTGAGCATCTAGACGTGGCCGTTCATTCCGTTTCCGAAGGTTTGGCGTGGCCTGCCAGGAGACCCAAAATCTTAAGAGAGCCAAAGGCACATCCAAACTGAACCCCGGTTCATAAAGCTTGTCACCTCCTATTTCAACTAGATAAGAGCCAGGAAGGAATGCTTTCCTTTTCTTCCCGCCTGAGGGAGGAGGTGCATGTGGGAGTGGGGCTGTGATCTGCAGACAGGAGGGGAGCTGAACGCACTGAGCTACACCCGGGGATCAAGCAATGAGACTACACTGGCCTTGTCAGCCCCTAAACTGCCTTTTAACAAAAAAAAACTCAACACTCTACGACTCAACATAGTAAATGCAGCCTTGAGTCTCCGGGTTTAAAAGAATGAAAGATAAAAAAGGAAATAACTTTGGAGAGGAGGCAACCTGTGGCGGAAAGGATGAAACCACAAAACTGCTTTAAGCACAGCGCTCCGGCTTCTTAGCGGGGACCGCGAATTGTGTGAGCCTGTGATCAAGCTCAGCCCCCCGGGCTTCCAGGAGGGAGAGGGCGCCCCTCCTGGCCCAGCCCTGGGCGGCAGAGACTGCCAGGGCGGGGTGTTCCAGGAGAGAGTAAGCCTCCTACCATCCGGTTCTCTCCATCTGAGCGAGGTGCCGCTCTGCCCCGCTCAGGTAGGGAAGGGTTAAGGAAACCAGTGAGTGCTCTGACTCCAGCTGGAAGCCATTAGCAGCTCTGAGACCATCTCAGGAACCCAGTTAGCGGGTGGGTGGCCTGGCCAAGATCCTGACCCGGGGTACATGTATGGAATCACAGGCTCCTGGCACTGGGCGGGGCTTTCGTTCTACCTCCTGCCCGCGGTGGAAATCCCTTCCTCGACTGGCCAGTCCCTCCTTGCACACTTCAGCCCATTCAGTGCTCAAGCGGCAGCCCACTCCTCAAGGGCAGATCCTATTACTATTATAGATGAGTTCTTCCTGGCCACTCCTGTCTGCCCTTTCATTCTAACGCTGCCCCCTGGTGTCAGCACACGGAGGTCCTCCCTGTGGAGACAGCCATCACTGGCTTCCAGGTTCTCTCTTTCTTAGGGCCAAACAGCCCAGGTCCGCCAGCCAGCCCTTCAGCTGGTTGTTTCCAGGCCCCCCTGAGCCTGCTCACTCTTTGAACTGTGCACACGTTTCCGAGTCCCCTCTGAAGAATGGGCCCAGAGCGGGAACAGTCCCAGCTCAAAGGGCATTGGTAAGCCGAAACCGGTTTGGCTCAGTGGAGAGAGCATCGGCCTGCAGACTGAAGGGTCCCGGGTTCGATTCCGGTCAAGGGCATGTACCTTGGTTGCGGGCACATCCCCAGTGGGGGGTGTGCAAGAGGCAGCTGATTGATGTCTCTCTCTCATCGATGTTTCTAACTCTCTATCCCTTTCCCTTCCTCTCTGTACAAAATCAATAAAATATATATATTTTTTAAAAAGGGTGGGGGGGGGCATCGGTATAGTGTCATCTAGGAGGTCTTTTCCCTCGGGAGTGTGAGAGGTAAACTTTTTCAGGGAAGATGCAGCCGCACTTCCTTTAGATCCTGCCACTAGGGCCTCTCCCTGCCGCACCCCTAGCAAGCTTTTAGCTCCAGGAGACTGGCCTCCTCCACTGGACAGCACTGGCCCAGCAACTGCAGTCACAGCCAAAAACAGGAGGCGGGGGGTGAGGGGAGAGATGGAGGGGTGAATGAGCTCCTCAGCAGGGAGCTCCCCGCTTCCCACCAGTGTGAAGGCAGACGAGGAAAGATCACTCCCATCCTGACCACGGACCCATTAATTGATTGCCCAGATAAACGCAGGAATGAGCTTTTTGCTTTTGCTCTCGGCAGTTAAATGCAACGGACGGCGTTTGCTCGTCTGGTCTGAGGGATGTCCTAACTAATTACATCTTTGCTTTCATTGCATGGAGGGGACCTGGGGTCAGCCCAGGCTCTGGCTCTTCGTGATGAACTAAATGAATAGCTGTGACCTGACAGAGTCACTCCGTATAAGCCGATATAGCACAGGGTGTGATTTGGGCCTATTTTATATTCTCAGCTGTGCCTCCGATCAACTGTGATGTCAAAGCTGGGAAGATCGTCCATCCCGAGTTCATTGTGAAATGCCCGGCAGGGTGCCAGGACCCCAAGTACCACGTGTACGGCACAAGCGTCTACGCCTCCTCCTCCAGCGTGTGCGCCGCTGCGGTTCACAGGTGGGCAGCGCGGAGCCACTCAACAGACTGCAATCGGGGTGCGGGTGGGGGGCCAGGCAAGGTGGCTGGTGCAGCACACAGAAATATACACTATAAACTGAGCACCCTGGAATCCATCTGCCCCTCCCCCTACCCCAGAGGATCCCGCAGGAGCCGCGGGTGGTCCTGGATCTCCTTTCCCCGTGCTCGGTGGATGCCAGGGCTTCCTCCTCTATATTCCTCAATGGAGCCGGGGAAGAGCCTACTCTTTCACCTTCCTGACAAGGACACCAAAGTTCCTGGTGATGTAAATACTGTGTGTGCTGAGCACAGAGATTCTAGGGATGAGACTAAGGCAGGCCCAGACATTGGAGAAGAAATGTCAGCCATGGTGATGCCTGAGACCGGGGGACAGGAAGAGTGAGGAGGAGGGCGCGGTGACACTGCTTGGTCTGCTGTTGGTTTGAGACCAGGCAGGAAGACAGGAGGCCGCCATGCTTTGGCCTAAGTCACTGCCTAAAGGAGGAGAATCCTCAGACAACACAGGAAATGTGTACTTACTGAGTATCTTTTTACATATATTATTTTTTATTGATGTCCGAGAAGAAAGAAGAGGGAGAGATAGAAACATCAATGACGAGAAAGAAACCACTGATGGGCTGCCTCCTGCACACCCCCTATTGGGGATCAAGCCCGTAACGGGGGCATGTGCCCTTGACCAGAATCAAACGCACAGGCTCACGCTTTAGCCACTGAGCCAAACTGGCTAGGGCTTTACTTAATATCGTTGATAATAAGGCTAATGTGTAGGTGCCAAGCACCCCACCTCTGCTATCTTATTTAGACCTCACCATTGCCCTACGCGGTATCTACTCCAATTAACCACACCCTAAGGATGAAGAGACGGTGAAGAGCCACGCTATTAAAATGTAGGAGCAGATGGGGACCCGAAGCCACGCTCCTACCCACCACAGGCCCTGCTGGGAGACGTGGCTCCTGACTCAGGGCGTGGAGTGTCTTTATTAGTCAGGCTTCTGGCTTCTTTTCCTTCTCCCTCCCGGCACACCAGTTGGTGGATTGTTCAGTTTTACCTCTCCAGAGAGAGGAGAGCAGATGTAAAAATGCATGTCCCTTCCAGGTATGTAGCCAGTAGCTTCTCTGAAACTGGAAAAGCAGTAAGAAAAGAAAGCTACGTGTAAAACAGTTGGGAGAATTACTAGCAGGTTTCGTTGGCCGTACTCCTCTTTTCCCCATCGCTGCCGAGAGATAAGGAACTCACCGATTGTTCAATGGGACAGGACGATGGAGGCTCCATTATAGAGACAGGTAGAGGGATATTAAAGAGAAACCACACTAAATGCTGTTTCTTAACTCCAGACTATGGGATAAAAATATTCTGCTTTCACTCTGACATCAATTTCAGGCCAAAACAGGTACGTAAAGATTTATAGACACACCTGCACGTGCACGTATACACACGTGCATGCCTCCCAAACATATCTATCTGCACACGTGTGCATGCTCACATTCATCCTTCACGCCCATGGGCGTGCCCACAGCTCCCCCACATCAGCTCTCTCCCGTCTGCGGCTGTGTAGACACTGACCTCTGTCGCAGAGGCTGAGCCTGTCTTAGGTGCTTGTATTTTTCCAGCTGTGATCTGAGATGGCTGGCACTGGTTTCCGGTTTCCGCCGACCACTCGGGCACTCTCTTGCCTTTCCGTGTTTCCTTTGCAGGACAGAGCCATGCGAGTTAATGTGGCCTCACCAAAGATGCCATCAGAAGGGCAGTGTTCCTTTGCTCTGTAATTCTCGCCTTTTAGCATCATCTCAACCCAGGAGGCTGCTGCTAGCGTCCCCATTTGTCAGAAGAGGAGCTGAAGCACAGGGTGGTTCATTAAATTGCTCGTGAGTTGCACACTCAGGATTAGAAGTCATGCCCACGACTTCCAGGCCAGAGCCCAGGGGATATACTGCAGGCTCTGTCCCTCCCCCAGGATCTCCCGTGGTGGTCAAGTGGCTGGTGCATCCGCCTCCCTGCACTGCTGTGGCCTCCCAGGACCTGCCCTTCTCTGGGAGAATGTCCTCAGCCTCTGGTTAGGCCCACAAGATGAGGCTCACTCTCTTCCACTATCGGAACACCTCATGGAGCCCCTCATGGGAGCACAGTAGGTCTACACCTGCACCTCTCCCCGACTCTGGGTGTGCACTCTGACGTAACGTTCACAAGTCCATCGTGAGAACCCTGGAGGCCCCAGGAAGGCACAGGCGGCCCCCTCCCTCACTCTGAGTGGCAGCTACAGGGAGTGTACACACACACACATACTTCCCCCACACAACGGAATATAAATCCAAGAGCAGAATCATTTCTCTGGGGGGAAATAAAAAACCATAAGTTATTTTTATGTCCTCCATTAATTATGAGTAAAGGGACCACGGGATAATTTCTTTTAATAATTCGAAGTCTCCGGGTACACCACCGGTATGTGCTGGTAAATGTTTAACCACCGGCTCTCCGAAAAGGTTGGGGTTGTTGATTTACCGACTTGGGTGGTATAAATACTCCCATCGTGTCTGATTTCAAGCTACTGATGTGAAATGAACCAGCTCCCACACTCCTAAAGCTTACCAGTGCGCTTTGGCAAGCAGAACCCACACACCATTGACAGGCCTTCTATCATAAAACAGACACGTGAAACATGGTCCTTCCCGTACGAGAATTTCCAATCTAGCTGGGAGATCAAAGGAACTCAGAGTCTCAACTGGGAGACAGGATGTAAGGTGTTGCTAGGAAGGGGTCTAGGGAAGTCGTGTCAATCTCGGTGAGGAAGATGGTGTTAGAGATCCAGTGAGGCAGAAGTGGGAGCCAGGTTCTCAGAGCAAACATTGAGACACGGGAGAGAGAACCAGCATCTGTTGGGCGCAGAGACCAGCCCAGCTGCAGCTGGGAGAGGTGAGAGAAGGGATTCCGAGTGCTCCTGAGAGAAGAGACAGCAGGTTGCCAGGACATGAGTTTGTGCCAGGAGGTACCTGGGTTTTTTAACCCAAGAGGCCACTGTGACCAGTGGGACAGACCCAGGGTTCCAGGTCACAAGACCTGGATTCAAATCCCTGCCTTGAAATGTGCTAATTAATCTGGAGTCACTCGACCTCTCTAAGGCTGTTTCTATCACCTGAGAAAAACATATTCGCTCCACTCCACAACGCATAGCTTTGCTGAGGGACCCAAGGAGATACCATACATGACAAGCTACTTTCAACCTTTTTCATCTCCTGGCACACATAAACTAATTACTAAAATTTTGATGCACACCAAAAAATATATTTTTTTCCATCTGCCAAAAAAAGGGATAGGTATGGTTTTGATTCATTCACACCAGACACCTCCTGTGTGGGCAGTTGTATTTTTTCACTTGACAATCTAAGCGAAAAGAGGTCAGTGCCCCTAAGTAGTCAGGTTTTGGATGTTTTAAAAAGTCTTGCGGCGCACTAGTTGAAAATCGCTGATATATGGGGATGATCTTAAAACATTTTAGGGTTGTAAATGCTAAGTATTATCATCACTTTCTTTTCTTCTGGGTCGTGGGGTATTGAAAGTTGTTGACTCCCATAAGGTGGGTGAGCAAGAAATGGCAACCGCTCCTCCTGGGAGGAAGGGAGGGTGCGGATAAACACAAACCCAAGTACTTTTTAGCTCCGCTGTGCCATCAGTCACAGATACCCAAAGAGCCATTTCACCCTCTGGGGCCAGGGGACGACAATGTGAAATGATATTCAGAAACCCGAACTGAGCGTCTGCCTCACACAGTTACGTCACGTCAGGATCCAAAACCTTCAAAACCTAGAAAGTAAATAAGCAATTCCTCGTGTTTGAGGACTCTTTTAAAGGGCTTGACTTAGCTACACACCTTTCTGGCTCAAAATAAAAGGAATAATTTGCTTTTAAAAACATCATACCATACCCTTTGAAATAACTGGATTCATTCTGTGATGTCACACAACGAAATTGGAAATTGTCAGGAAAGAGGTTTTACTTATAAAAGAACAAATGGGGCCCTGGCCGGTGTGGCTCATTGGTTAGAGTGTCGGCTTCTGCACGGAAGGGTTGTGGATTCGATTCTCAGTCAATGGCATGTGCCTGGATTGCAGGTTAGATCCCGGCCTAGTTGGGACGTGTGCAGAATTTTTAAAACTTCCAAAACTTGACTATTGAGTCAGGAACACTGACCTCTTTTCCCTTAGACTGTCAAATAAAAAAATGACAACAGCCAACACAATAGGCATCTGATGTCTCTCTCACATCGATGTTCCTCTCTTTCCTCTCCCTCTCTTCCTTCCACTCTTTCTAAAAATCAATAGAAAAATATCTTTGGGTGAGGATTAACAACAACATCAAAAAGAAAGAATTAGTGGGAATGAATAAACCAGGGAAAAGAAATTTGAGGTGTAGTAAAGAGAAATTCCTGACTGAACAATCAGGTCCTGTCATAAGAAAAAGAAGGACATCAGAGGTGGGAGGTGGATTCTGGGCCATAAGGAGGAGGCATGGTTCTTGGGGGAAGGGGAGACTGCAGGTCAAGGTGACCCTTTTCTTCTTTTTCTTTTTTTTTTAAATGTATTTTATTGATTTTTTACAGAGAGGAAGAGAGGGGGATAGAGAGTTAGAAACATCGATGAGAGAGAAACATCGACCAGCTGCCTCTTGCATACCTCCTACTGGGAATGTGCCTACAACCAAGGTACATGCCCTTGACCAGAATCGAACCCGGGACCTTTCAGTCCGCAGGCCGACGCTCTATCCACTGAGCCAAACCAGCCTTGGCTAAAGTGACCCTTTTCTTAATCTCACTGCTCTCCTGTCTCTAAATAAAGCAGGCTGGTTTGGTATTCAATTGATCACATCAAACAATATTCTTGTTCTTTCTTCAAAAAATTTATTTTCTCTTCACAGTGGTGTGCTCGATAATTCAGGAGGGAAAGTACTTGTTCAGAAAGTAGCTGGCCAGTCTGGCTACAGAGGGAGTTATTCCAATGGCGTCCAGTCCTTATCACTACCCCGTTGGAGAGAATCCTTCGTTGTCTCAGGTATGCCCTCACTCTGGGGGGAATAGCGCCAACACGGGTGCTTGGGGTTCAGTAACCTCTTGGTACAAAATGTGGTCTTTCCAATGTGCTGTTAGTTTTAATTCATGGCCCACCTCATTTCATAAAACCTGAAGGATTAGTTCTTCTCATAATTAGGATCATGAGACAATGAATTATAATTACAGTGATAAATCACTGCAGCCTGGAAATACTGAAAGACTGCAATTACTCATGTTAAACACACTGCAGCTATCTGTAAGCCCAATCAAACTTTTTAATTGAGTGAATTACATTTAATAACTTGGGTGTTTTTTGTTGTTTTTTTTTTTAACTATTCCTTTTGTTAGGCCAAATGAATCTCAGATCTAGAACCTTATTTTTAGAGAATTCTGGTAAATGAACAGTTAGGGACATGGGCTCTGAAAGAACTGAGCAACAATTCGAGATTTGTTTTTATTTAGTAATTGTTGCACTAGTCAATCAGTTCTCACTATCTAGCTCTTTTGGATTTTTGTAGAAAATCATTTTCACTTTTCTCCCCTTTTCCAAAGAGGTGATGTCGGTGAGCTAGTGACTAGTACAATTTCACAGTGAAAAGGTAAGCAAGTATATTTGTATTATCATGATTCCCCCCCACACCGCCTTTTTTATTATATTTGTGAATTTTCCCAACCTAATCTTTTTTTAAATATATTTTTATTTATTTCAGAGAGGAAGGGAGAGGGAGAGAGATATATAAACATAAATGATGAAAGAGAGAATCATTGATCGGCTGCCTCCCACACGCCCTCTGCACGACTAATGCCGGTGGTCTTAATTCGGCATCTAGAAGGGTTCTGGAAACCTAGAGAAGGAGCTGTGCATAAATTAAACAATAGTCCAGAGATGAAACAATTTTGAAAGGCATTTGGGAGGGGCAGAGGAGCTTGGCTAAAGATTAAGATCAAGTTCTCCTCATCTAAGGACCCCTTGCTTTTTATTAGCACAATTTGTCCTAAGGCAAGGTGGAGATATACACATCGAAGGGTTGGGTTAGGTACAGAATTCAGTGCCAGAATGGGGAATTGCCTTTGGTTGTTCAGGTGTTTGGCCAACAGGAGGCAATAACATGTAGATTAAGATGCCCTGAGCTGTCTGGCAGCAAGCAATCAATTTATGCATCCCTTTCAGGTTTGGGGAAATACCTTTAGCCATCCCCAACAGGTGATAACATGTGTGACTCAGCCCTTGTTGAGTCCCCAAATTCCAACCTTTCGATGAAACTCTTGCAATTATGACATGTTGGAACTGGCTTCCAGTACATGACCTCCTGGTTCATAGGTCAATGCTCAACCACTGAGCCACGCCAGTCAGGCACCAATCTAACCTTTTATTTTGAATTTTTTTTTAATTTACAGAAAAATTCAAAGAATAATACAATGAGTATCTGGATTCCCCTTTACCCAGATTCACCAATTGTTAATAAGTTGCTATATTTGCCTTATCTATTTGTCTACCTATCCATCCACCTGTATTTTGTCTAAAACAGGCAGGCATCATGACACTTGATTTTCAACACTCATATTGCAAGAGCAAGAACATTTTCCTAAATAACCAATACCAAATCTGAAAAATTAGCATTGATGCAATATTATATAATAAATAGTTCCTATTCAATTGTATCCAATTGTCCTAAAATAGTCTTCAGAATAATTTATTCCTTTTTTGGATCAACAGTCCAAAGATCATCCATTGCATTTAGTTGTCATGTCTATTTGGTGTCCTTCAATCTAGAACTATCTCAATACATTACCTTTTTGGTCATGAACAGCAAATGACATTTTTGAAGTCCCAGCCAGTCAACTAGTAGTATGTCCCACAATCTGAACCATAAACATCTCCAATTGTTTCCTCCTGATTGAATTCAGGTTAAATATTTTGGCAAGGATACGAGACGGGTAGCCTCATAGCATATCCATTATGTCCTATCACAATGACCCTATCAGAAGGCACATAATGGCAATGCGGCCAGTTGTTAGTGAGGCTAAATTTGATTAATTGGATATGTTACCTTCCCTCTCCATGCTGAAAATACCTCGCAATTAATAAGCAATCTGCAAGGTGATACTTTGAAACAGCATGAATAGCTTGTTTCCCAACAAATTACTCAGTGGTGTAAACATCTACTGACCCTTGCTGCAGCAAGAATTATATTAGTAATTATAGTTGTTCTAATTCTGTCATTTCTTCCACATGCATTAGATAGTATTTTTATAGAAAGAACCACCCCCCTCTCCCCGCTGCACACTTAGGATACAAATTAGACTGCTTCCTAAGTCAGAGAGTAGAAAGCCCGTCAACCATAGTATTATGAGGTTTGCCTCGTAACCAAGAATTCACAATAGAGGCCTTATGAAAATACTATGTCTAGAATACAAATTTGTTGAGTAGGGAGAGAAATATAATCTCCTCATAGGTGTTTACCAAGTAGCTCCTGGCCAAATAAGAGTATTTTGATCTAAAGTATTTAGCCTGCAATCCAAGAATCCCAATAGAGGTTTAAAAGAAAAATTAATTCCATGAGCAAATCAATCTGCTGAGATTATTCCCTATAAATCTCAACTTCCATATCCCTTCATTCCATCTCCTGACATATAACGGAAAACCCTTTTGGCCAATGATAATAAACACTTATGAGACAAAGTGCCTGCCTTTGGGGGGCTTCTACATTCCAGGGACACTTTCTGTTTCCTGGTGAGATTTCGGGCATGACCTCATGTGGGGAAAGACGGAGGGCAATTCCAGTCCTATCCGGCTTGGTACTTCCTTACCCAGCCCCTGTCCCTGATTGGTCTTGTTTTCTTTCCTTTTTTAAATATACTAGAGGCCCGATGCATGAAAATTCATACACTGCAAGGGGGGGGCCCTTAGCCCAGACTGCCCCCTCTCACAATCTGGGAGCCCTCAGGGACAGGAGGTGACACGGCAATCAGGGGAAGGCGACACCCCATCACCTCTGCTGCTGCCACTGGGTGGCTTGGGGGCTGAGGCAGGCACATGGGGACTGGGCGCTGCCATCTTTGAGGACGGGGAAGTCAGTTAGCATATTCCCTCTTTATTGGCTGTGGGCACCCCCATCTTTTGTGATGGCAAGAGGGTCAATTAGTATATTAATTAGTATATTATATCAATTAGTATAATCCTTATTAGATAGGATTTTTATTGATTTCAAAGAGGAAGGGAGAGGGGGAGATAGAAACATCAATGATTAGACAGAATCGTTGATCGGCTGCCTCCTACACACTCCCTACTGGGAATCTGACCCAAAACCCAGGCATGTGCCCTTAACCAGAATTGAACCCTGGACCCTTTAATCCACATGCTGACACTCTATCAGCCAAACCAGCTAGGGTGGTCTTATTCTCTCTGTCTCCATTATTTCCCTACTATATATTAGCATTCCTTCTTCTTGCCTGGCATCTAACTTTCTCTCCCTGGGTGGGCAACTACTGCTTATTGTCAAGGCTGATCTACATTTCCATCTCCCTACTTCCAGGTTTCTGGAGGGCCAGGGAATTCAAACGGACCCCACAGGGTCCATGAAAGTGAGAGGCAGCCGGTCAGGCATACCAGCCTGTGGCCAGAGCACTCCAGCATCTGACGAGGGACATGGGGAATGTTTTTACATCCGTCTCCTGACCCAATTAAACATTCAAAGCCACGTGTATGAAAACCTCAGCTTCCATGTCACATCTTCATGGGCAAAACAGTGGATGCTCATGTGGACTCCGAGACACAGAGGTTTCATTGCTTCCTTTCGAATATTAATAAAGTACAGGCCATCCAGGAAAGCAAAATACCACTTGACTTTCGTGCCGTAATCAACAAGTCTGCACGGGGGAGACAGACTGATTTTATTGAACTCAAGAAAGACAAATTGGAAGGAGAGGAGCAGCTTATCAAAACAGAGCCATCTAAAGCCTAGAAATAAATCTTTTCTCTCTCTTTTGCAGAAGGTAAACCCCAAAAGGGCGTAACCTACCCATCGGCTCTTACATATTCATCAGCTAAAAGCCCAGCTGCCATCGCAGGCAAGTATCCAGGAGCGATTTCATCTAAATCTTCCGAGTTCGTAAAAATGCAATGTTGTGTTTTCGGAGATAATGTAGAAATTAACATCTTAACCGGGCAAGGTCCACTGACTTCAGTAATATTTTAACAGATGCCAGGAAAATAGGCCCAGAAATCAATGGGCTAGGAGAGTTGGGGCAGAGGAATGAGGCTCTTTGTTGTTTTCCCAGTTCCAAGATTGTCTTTGTTGGTGTCTTTCATTCAGACGTCAATGCTGCCGCCTTGAATTTTATTGTAGCGTTACTGTAGAAAATGACATGCGAACTATTCCCAGGCAGCTCAAAGGGGAAAGGCTGTCTCCCCGTAGGTGTGAAATGAAGGGGAGGGAAGGATGTGGCTTAGGAGATAACAGCAAACAGCGAATCTGAAAAACCCAGGCCACAGACACACTGCCTCTGAGGCTGCGGCCTAGCAGCAGGTAAACCACAAAGGTGGTACTGGTGGCCCTCAGGCCAAGAAAGCACCTTTTTCTAGTTTCTGTGTGAGAGCGGGACGCGTGCTCTGCAGCGGTGTGTCTGTGGGGGTTCTGTGATTTCCCACACAGAGAGAGCCGGTGCGTTGCTTTATAGTGGGATTTCTGCATTGCTCCCAGAAACTTGCCGGGCTGGCCTATTTTGTTCCTGGACTTAAGGAGAACGTGGCGTAACAATAGTGTGAGAAGCTGGCATTTATTGAACATGTGCTGTGTGTGCCAGGCACAGTTCCCAGAGCTGATTACTGCATTCAATCGCCCCAATGCCACCATGGGTAGGTACTATTCTTAGCCCTAATTTACAGTTTAAGGGAAATACAGCCCAGAGCAGCTTAGTAACCTGCCCTTGGTCACACAGCCAGTAAGTGGCAGAGCTGAGAATCCAACCCAGACAGTGTGGCTCCAGAAACCTCTCTCTATACTATTCATCTGTATGTTTGTGCCAATAACAGTGTCTATAAGGAGCCTTGATCTGAGAGGCCTTGGCATATAAATAGCAACTGGTTTTCATCCCCTGTCCCCTGTTCCCCCAGGTACTTCTCCAACTCTATCTTTAATGACACCTTAATGTTTCTGGCAATCTAGCCTTGTTCTGGTTGAAGTGCAAGGAGTCAGCCGTGCCCCGCCCCTATCCCCACGCTGGCAGCACACCGGGGCTCAGCGGCCATGTCTGACCTGGCTCCTGTCCTCTTTTGGTGTGGGCGCGGAGGAGGAATCGGTGGCGTAAAGGCTGGCCAGCTGATGGAGGGAGTGTGTCCCTGGCCTCTCTCTTGTCTCACGAGGCCAGCAGTTCTCCGTGACTTCTGGGAGGTGACACCTGTGGACACATCTGGGGCCAGAGGATGGTGCTCAGCTGCATGGTGGTCCCCTACTGCTGGGCCTGAAGCCGGGCCCCCCTCTTCCTCTGAGTCAGGTCCGCTCCTGGGCTCGGCAGCCGCTCTGCAGAGCCACGGGAGTGACTGGGGCTGTGTTCTTCCCCTCAGGGGTTCGAGGGGAGCAAGGACGGGGTGAGGTCACCTTTCCCTTCCCATCTCCCTTCACCTTTGGCCTTCTCAGCCCTGCACCCACCCCTTCAGAAACAATCCCTATGTTCAAGCAAGCCCCCCAACTTTAGGGACCACTGTCTGTGAGTTATGACATTACTGGCACCTGTCACAGAGACATCCCCAAGACATTGAGCCGCCAATCAGCACATGCCAAAGTGTCCTGGAGCCCACCCCTTCCTGTTTCACCCTGGGTCCAACCCTCTCCTGTTCCTCCCCTTAAAAAGACCCCCAGACCAGGCCACGGGTTGCTTTTTCCTCCATGTCCAGGAGGCAGCCCAGCTGGGTTCTCTTTCCCTCCACACTCCTTCAGTTCTGATTTCTCTACCTCCATAATGAGTCCCGCTCATTACCGGGGAATAAACTTTAAAATGTCTTGATGGTCAGTTTCCTGCACCTCAAACCTTACAATGTCAAGTACGCCCTGTTTTTACACTGAGAGGGAGAGTACTCTTACACTCCAAGAACGCTCCCCGAAACTTGTCCAGGTGGCCGGTGGGTGCTGGGGCTCAGCAAGACCAGAGAAGAGAGAGGCCCGTCTCCCTCCCGCAGGCCCCTGCAGTGGTGGTGAGCCAGTCCCTGGAAGTTCCCTCGCGTGGACTGGGAAGGCCGAGGCCAGGAGTAAGGGAGGAGAGGTCCCGAACACTGCTGTCCCCAAATAGTGGCTACTAACCCCAACTCTTCTGGTCTTTTCCGTCTGCTGACTGGCCCCGGTGAGGTGGGGCTAGTGATGGCACAGATTCTAATAGAATGCTCCCCGACCCCCTGTGGGAAGGTTAGGGGCACTGCCCTCATTTAGAATGAGCACTTCCGGATGAGGTGCTGTTTAATGCCTTGCCCCAGGGCACCACTCTGACTGCCCCATGCCACACTCCAACGCTGATTGCACCCCTCAGAGAAGGCAAAGAGCAGGGAGAGAGGTGAAGGGGAGAGACTTTACAGCCAATTGCAGCTTAGGTTATAAAATCCATCAGGTTTCTACATACTCCACATCAGAGGTCATTTCCAAAACTTCTCTGAATACCCCAAGCGCCAAGGCCCAGCTCACCACCATCTACTTCTGGCAAGTACTTATTCCACCTGCCTGAGTCACTGGCATCCAAGAAGAGTGCGGAGCGGACAGGCGGGCTTTCTGGCACGTATAATACATTGAAAATGAGGAAGAGCCATAGTTAGAGCATCAAGTCAATTATCACTTGTCCCCGCTACCAAACCTTCTCTATCTTCCATGACATTGCTACCGGGTAGTGCTATCCTACTACAAGATCTTGTAGAGTTGTCATAGTGGGGAAAATTAAGTTCATTCATTCATTTTGTATTCATTTACTCAATAATCATACATCGAACACCTCCTATGGACCAGTCTCACCTGCCGTGAGGTCCCCAACTCAAACAAAACATCCAGTGAGAATCGTAAAAGCGTGGCCCCTTTGTTGCTACTCTTCCTTAAATGATGAGATTCCTGAAGCAGCATGAGAAAGCAGAAGAGACGGCCAAGTGAGGCCAGCAGCTGCTCAGGTCTCAGCAGGCCCCTATAAAACACTTCATCTCCCCAGGAATGTGCGTTAACAGGTAAATCAGGTTAGGATGACCTCTCAAAGCATCACAGCCTTCTTCCCTGGGACATTCTCTCACTCAGAAAATAGAAAGCCCCCGGATTTGGCTACACAGCTCCTGCTGGACAGGCGTTGCTTAGATTTAAACGCTGCTTGCCAGGCAGAGGCAAACAGCTGCTATTTGGCTAGAGCCTCGAGCTCCTCTGAGCTCAATAAAAACAGGTGAGTGTTTGAATCGTAATTTGCAAGTAAAGTGTACTGTCAGTTTATTCATATCTTTCTCTCCAACGTAATAATTATATTCCATCTGATAAAATAGACGATTCTATTAGGGCTTTTTCCTCTATGCAGCAGACTGGACCTGGGGCTGCTTCTCCCTAAGAGGCATTAAAGCGGGTAGTGCTTACCAGAGGGTGAGACCGAGGAGAACTTTAGAGAGATTAGAAACTTCCCAAAGACTTGTTATGAGAGCGCAATTCCTCTAAAGTCATGGAAACGCCATAAAACACAAGTTCGGTTTTGCCCAAGGATGGCGTGAAGACTGGCCGAACCCCAGAGCTGCTGCCAGCTCTTTAGCAATTTGTCTGGCACAGCCTAGGCAGACTTAGAGGCGGGACAGGCTGGAGAAAGGATCTGCTTCCTGCCTTGACAGGCCGGTGCCTGCAGGTGCAGACCAAATGACCGGACTCCAGCCCCATAGCAGGGCGGGTGCCGTTTGCTGACTGCTCCCCCAAGTCTGTGCTTTGACTGGCGCAGGAGGTGACAGTGTCAGGGTAGGGAATACCAGTGCGGGGCAGTGGATCTGAACACCCTACCCCACATCCCTCTGCACAGCTGGCCTGGGCCATGGTAGAGAGTTTCCCTGCGCACTCATTGTACAATGTCAAAGAGGACAGAGAGTTCCCACAGAGTGCATCACCTTTCTATCTCAGACGTTACCCCCTACGCCTGCTGGTCTGTGTACCGGAGACACACCAACCGGGAGCCAAGTTAGGGCTAGAGCTAGCATGCTGTGGTGGGCTGAAATGTACCCCCCACCCACCCTACCCCAAAGTTACCCATGTCCTCATCCCTGGAAACTGTGAATGTTACATGGCAAAAGTGGGCATTGCAGATGGGATAAAGCTAAAGGATCTTGCGATGGGGAGATTATTCTGAATTATCTGGGTGGGCCCTACATGCAATCACACGTATCCTTATAACCGTGAACTAGAGGGAGATCTGACACACTCACACACCGAGGAGACGGTCGATTGAAGGTGGAGCAGAGAACCTTGAGGGCACAGGCCTTTAAGGTTGGAGTAGTGTGGTCACAAGCCAAGGAATGCCAGCAGCCACCAGAACATGGAAGAGGTGGGAAACCAATTCTACTCAACAACCTCCCAAGGGAGCTCAGTCCTGCTGACCCCTTGAGCTCAGCCAGGTGACACCTGTTTCCAGCTTCTGGCCTCCAGAAAAGTCAGGGAATACAGGTGGGCAGATAGAGAAGCTGGCATAACCCCCATGGGACCCACCGGGCATTTTCGAGGGTTCTGTTGTCCTCCCATGACTGGGGTGCTTTTCACTTTGTGTCTCCTTCCGACACAAACCCATGCTTCTGAAGACAGTCCCCAATGCCCAGTGGGTAGTCACGTGTCCCCTTGCCCTAAACCTTCAGAAATACTCTCAGGGCTGCCAGAGTAGTAACAAACATACTCATTTAAAATTGTGAAAGCAATCTAAAGTGTCTCACATGCATGAAGACCACAGGTTAGCCGAATCAACATGATTCTTACAATCTAATTAGTTCTCTTACTTCATTGGACAGATGAGGAAACTGAGACCCAGAGGAGTTAGCTGACTAGTCATGAACTGGCAATCTAGAATGCATTCTCTAAAAGTGAGTGATAGTGAGCAGTAGAGTACCTTTTATCCCTGGACCAATGTAATTGAAATATCAAAGAAGTATGTTTATGACCGTTGCCTCTAGCAATAAATCATGTTCTGCCTTATCCACATCTCTGAGGTCTGAACTGTCTTTAATTACTTTGTTGTTCTTCACTCTGATTTGTGTATTGGTTGATTGCTCCATCCTGTAGGGCAGGTGAGTTCCACCATCCACAGCCGCTAGCACAGGTCTTTGCCCATAAGCTAGTGTCCAATAAACTTTTATTCTACATCTGTCCTGAGGGGTCTACTGGCTATTTGATAGGCCCCAGTGTAATTTCATTTTTTTTTTTTTACAGATGAGACCACAAAAGCCTCTCAGAAGCCATCAGTTCCAGGGACAACCGCACAGCCAGGGACCCTGATGCAGGTAGCGGGGACCACCTCAGCAGAAGGCTCCCACACCACCTTGCCCAAGCCATCCCCATCGGCAGGCTCCGCCACCAGCAGCCCCAGACCACAGCCTGCGGGCCACAGGAGCCAGCAGCTGGGTCAGTAGGTACACTGTGTGTTTCCACGTGCAAGAAAGCGGGAGACTGGCTCTTAGATTAGCCCTCGGTCTGAACGCCTGTGGAGTGCCTTCTCCCACCTGTGGAGCTGAGGGACGGGGGGGGGGGGGGGGGGGGGACCCTGAGACCTGCGCCAGGGGTATGTGTTCTCCCAGTTTTAAGGGGTAACTGTGAGCCAGTAAGAATAGTTTAGGATCAAGCTAAGAGCTAATAAGCAAACTATATAGAAAGGGTTTTAAATAGATTCAAAAATAGGTCCTGGGTTATCATACTTTCGAAGGTAGGAGATCACATGAAACTTTCCCGTTACAAAATCCCCATTTCTCCCGAAGCTCAGCTGAAGGCATAGGAGGTTTCTCCGTAAACACTGTTCCGTCTTAAGTGACAGATTATAAACTCCTGGGAGTTTTCAAATATTACAAACAAACAAACAAAACAAATCAAATCCCTTTAGGAGAAGCCAGATAGCTAACATTTTTATTCCTTTTCTGACAGATTTTTGTCTGGCTACTTGTATCCATTTCTTAAGTAAAGCGTTAGGTTTTACCAAAGACCAGTTTATGGGAGCAATCCTGGTATTACCTCAAACACAACACGAAGGGTACACTGGTGACTCCATCTTCTGTTTCTATACCACATGTGTGGAGCCTGGATCATCAGCACCTCCTCATTCCATGGCCCTTCGGGAAAGGGGGGTGGGAAATTCCACAGAAGTGCCACCGCTGCCTCAGCAATCTGTCCTAATATTTCCCTCCTAGTGCCACTCTGTCCTTCCAGCCTTACCTCCATCTTCCAAACATTCTGGCCAGCCAGCATGGCCCTTCCTTTCCATATCAAAGCCAACTAACTCTCGTTCCATCTTTTTATTTCACACACACACACACACACACACACACACACACACACACACTTTAGATGTGCTACATACTCTCCTGAGCATCTTACAAATATCAGCCTATTAAATCCTCACCACAACCCTATCACGTAGATGTTCCTTTTCATCTGACTGATATTTTTCCATTGATTTTTAGAGAGAGTAGAAGAGAGAGAGGGAAAGACAGAGAGAAATATTGATGGGAGAGAAACACATTGATTGGTTGCCTCCCACAGGCGCCCTGACCAGGGCCTGGTCCGGGGAAGAGCCTGCAACTGAAGCACGTGCCCTTGACCGGAATTGAACCCGGTACCCTTTGGTCCGCAGGTGGACCCTCTATCCACTGTGGGCTCCATTACTTATTATTAATACTCTCTTAAGCATCTTACAAATATCAGCCTATTAAATCCTCACCACAACCCTATCACGTAGATGTTTCTTTTCATTTGACTGATCTATTGTGCTGACGATGAGGAAACCGAGGCATAGGGAGGTGAGGAAACCAGTCCCAAATCACACAGCTGGGCAGGGGCAGAGCTGGGTTTAGCCCTGGCAACCTGGCCCTCCTGTGACTCCCCTTGCAAAAGGCATCCCTGCCATAAACCACATCCCAGGTGCTAATGAAGATCACAGAAGCAGGGCCTGACATGGATGGGTGGCAAGATTAGACACAGCCAACTCCCACTGTGAAGAATAGTAAGTAATGGAGCCCACAGTGGATAGTGTCCACCTGCGGACCCAAGGGTACTGGGTTCAATTCCAGTCAAGGGCATGTACCTCAGTTGCATGTACCTCATCCCCGGACCAGGCCCTGGTCAGGGCGCATGCAGGGCGGGGGGGGGGGGGGGGGGGGGGACAACCAATCAATGTGTTTCTCTCCCATCAATATTTCTCTGTCTTTCCCTCTCTTCTACTCTCTCTAAAACTCAATGGTAAAATATCCTCGGGTGAGGATTAAAAATAATAATAAGTAATGGAATGCACAGAGTCCACACTTTTCATGTGCCAGGCACCCTGAATGCATTAATTTATTTAATCTTCCCAACAGCCCTATGAAATAGATTATTATTCCATTCAATGAACAACTCATGGGAGAAGCTATGTAAATAAAGTCCCCAAATAAATATAATTTTGGCCTACCTGGCATGGCTCAGTGGTTGAACATCAACCTATTCCCAGTCAGGGCACATGCCCAGGTTGTGGGCTGGATCCCCAGTGTGGGGCATGCAGGAGGTAGCTGATCGATGATTCTCTCTCATCATTGATGTTCCTATCTCTCTCTCTCTCCCTCTCCCTTATTCTCTGAAATCAATAAAATAAAATGTTTAAAAAGTAAGAATTTCTGAAGATTGACAGACACTTCTCACCACCCTATTCTTACTCATCTCAGGTTAATATGAACACAGGCACACTATGCCTGACAGCAAACAAGAAAGCACTTAGGAAGGATGCTGGGACAGGGCTCCCCTAGGCAAACATTTTCCATCCATTTTCTTAATTTCAGGCTCTTGCCTTTTGGAGGCCTTGATTCTTTCAAAGACTTCTGAAGTAGCTGAGTAACTTCTTGTTTGCTCCTGGTGTCTCCTTAGAGGACAGCTTTTACCTAACACGTATAATTAAACATGTGGCATATTTACTTGGCTGCCCTGGGAGCTTGGAAATCCTATTACAGGTTGGGCCTGTGCTTATGGAAAACCACAAGCAACTTGAAGTAGTGGCTCCCAACCTGGCAACGCTTCATTTTTCCTGGCCGGGGGATAGGGCCTTGGACGAGAGCCTCCTGCCCATCAGTGTTCCTTCTTCATCTTCGTCCAGCGCCCGCGCCCATGCTGCCCCACAGGCTGCTGGACAGATACTCTGAGCGAGCATCCATGCAGAATGCCCAGTAATTGCTAAGAAAGGAGCCAGACCATGGAGGGGGAGGGAGAGAGGACTTTTAAAAGCTTATTCAAAGGACTTTCTGTAGGACCGAAGGGAAGTGAAAACTGATGTGTGAAGGGCCATGTCTTTTTTTAATAACAACTTTATTGAGATACTTTTTGCCCAGCATACAATTCACCCATTGAACATGTACAATTCAACAGTTTTTTTTAATATATTCACAAGGTTGTACAATCATCCCCAACAATCAGTAGTAATAGGACATTTTCTCTCCCCAACAACAAACCCTATTCCCCAACTGAGTCATTCACTGTATCTCCCTAATCTCTCCTTCCTCCAGCCCCAGGTAACCACCAATCTACTTTCATGAATGCCTATCTTAATATATGGCTATAGATGTTTTCAGGGATATCGTATCCCAACTATATAATCTTTAGTTTACAAATAACCCCTCTGTTTCTTCAAATGAGCTGAAAATAATCTGCCACCTGTAGTGGGAGAGTAACTCTGCTGATGCTGGACAACTGAGTTGCTGTTATTGTATTTATCAAGGTTGGCTTTCTGTTCATGATTTCTCTTATTTTGACTTTAGTCAAGTGAGGGCGTTTGATGAGGGCGTTCCAGTAAAATCTAATTCATTTTATTTATTCGACAAATGTTTACTGAGGTCTACTATGTGTCGGGCACTGTTCTAGGCTCGTGGGCTGCACTGGTGAACACATCCCACCAGGATCCCTGTAGCAGGTCGCTTCAGCTTAGGACATGTGAGAAGTGTGCAGGTGGGACAGGAGCAATCTGCATTTGGGGTCCATGACTCATTTTTGCTCTACAATGAGGTACAGAGCTGCCTCTCAGATGGGACGTAGGAACTTGGAGGGGTTTTAGTAGAAAGTAGAAAGTTTGTGGCAGGAAAAGACAGGGGAAGAGGAGCTGATGTAGGTGGAAGGGCTCTGAGGAAGATGGGGCTGGACACCAAGGCCTCATCTTAGCCCTTTATTGATCCAGGAATGTGCAAAGCTAACAAGACACTGAGGAACCACTCAAGGTTGGGGAAAGAGGTCCCAGGCAGGAGTGAAGCTGTTCTTCAGGTGGAGGCCAAAGACTATCGGCACCCACAGGAGTCAAGAAGCTGCAGAGCTGCATCCCAGGACCAGAGGGGGGCAGCCTAGATAACCATAGATAGGCTGAGGAAAGAGTTCTGGAGAAGATGGAAAAATCCCTCCAGGCCCACCTGCAAAGTCAGCTGAATCCACCAGGTCTGCAATGTGGAGTGGCTTTGCCCAGCATTGCCTTCCTGGTCGGGTTTTTTTTAAGAAGCTCTATGGTTGCTTCAGCTAATCTAGCCGGTTAAATGCCTCTACAAGGAAGGGTAGACCAATGAAGGAAGCAGAGCGCCACCTAACGGCAAGGCATAGTGATGGCTCTGATCACCTCCTACTCCACCCTCTGACAGCTGTTAGAAAGGGGAAGGAAGTGGTGAACTCTGTGACAGGAAGGAGACCAGCTTCTCTAACTGCCCATCCCTTCCTCGTGCAACTTCCCTGTCTACCAGCCTTTATCTCGTCTCTGAAGGTTTAATTCCCTTAACGTGTCTGGAGAAAGTTCTTCCTAAAATCCAGTCTTACAAATAGGAAAACAAACATTGCAAAAGAAAAATGGGTGAAGGTCATGACCAGGCAAAGCTAAAGCGGAAGAACTGTAAGTGGCCAATAAATATAACAAAAGACGTTCAAACCCCACCAGGAATAAAATAGATGCAAATTAAGCAATACGATGTCATTTTCACCAGTTCACACTGGAAATTGATCACACACAATTATGGCAAGCGTGTGGAGACCTGACCCAGAATTCGCACTTACAGGAACATATTCTCAGGTAATTACCAGCCAAGCACATAAAGAAGCAGGGACACAGATGCTGTTCATCATAGAAAACTAAATGCAAACAGTTTAACTGTCCATCATCAGACCAGTAACGGAGCTACTAGACAGCTATTAAAATTTTGATGACGAGGTTCACTTACTGACAGAAGGTTAGTCTGGGACAGCCTGGGAGGTCAAAGCAGCAGCTACAGAACAGCATGGGGCACCATCTCATGCTCATAACCGTGTCCTGTGCATGAGAACACAGCACAGAAAAGGGGACCTAACTCTAGAAGCCAAAATTGTATACCAGTATAGATTGTATACTCAAATACAGGGATTCATTACATTACAGGTGATTTCTTACTATCCTTAATATATTTTTTACAGTCTTTATAATTAGCTAGTTTGACTTGTGTCCAAATAGCTGGAACAGAGACAAAGGGAATGGGAAATGGATGGCACATGGATCTGATTGCGAGAGAAGCTGATGGTTTTCCATGGCCTCTGACCTCTTCCCCGCCATGAAACTTGGTCCTTCCCCTCTGCTGGTTTTTACGTGGTCCCTCTCCCCCCGAAAGGGATTTTGCATTTCTCTTTACAGGACTCCCACCTCTCCCATCTTCCTCCTCCTTTGCTTCAGAGAAATTGCCCAATAAATAATGAATGCTGAAGCATGTTTGATTCTCTCTCTAGAGTAATTAAGGATAACCCGTTGTGTACCTTTAAAAACCACTGAGCACTAACGCTATTTGCATCAATGCCACGTTAACACCGTGTAAGCAAATTGCTCAATGTTAAGTGACGTGTCTAGTGAAGGATTACTTTAACCTCCTTGGGAGTGGCACAACTGAGGAGAATTATTGTAATAATGAAGTATAAAAAATACGGTACTTTCATAAAACAAGTGAAATACAAGGGTTATTATTACCTGGAATAGTGTTTTGAGTTAAACCCTTTTTCTTTCTTTCTTTCTTTCTTTCTTTTCCATTTCAATGCTTCCTCTGGAGCAGTTCAGACCGTCCAAGGACAAAGCTTTACCTTGGGTCTGGCCGTGGTAATGTCTTATTAGGTTAGAATCATGGGAAGGAGGAGAGCGATTAGATTAACATTCACGCTCTGACCAGTCAAATGTTATTGCAGATCCCTGGCCCACCGCCTCCTACACAAGCAGCCAGAACAGCCCCCGTGCCAACCCAGGTAAGAGCCTGCCCTCACCTTTCCAGGCCGATGAAAGTTAAGTTTATTTACACGGGTTTTGTCTTTCCAAACCCTTGCCATTTGATTTAGATTTGGACAGAAAGCATTCCACCAGGTTATGCCAACAAAAGATACAGCCCAAGGGCCCCGCTTGTAAAGAAACTTGTAAGGAAAGCAAGGAAGCCTTACATAAGCAAAGCTTTCCCTCCTCGCCATTCCCTGGAGGCAATTTTGTGGGGGGTTTAGTGAGAAATTCCTCAGGATTCAGTGACTGACGCCTGTGAACTTGAAAAGGGATACTCTCTGGGGCTTACGCCTGAGGCACTGGATAAACAGAGGAGAAGTTTTTATCTTTTCCCCGGGAAAGGCACAGCTCAGTGTGCCCTGTACTTCCAGAGTGAGGAACAGAAACACATCCCCTCTGCTCCCGGAGTCTCCTCTGCACTACCCTCTCCCTGGCTCCCTCCGTTCCCTCTGTGCGCCCTTCCAGGTCTGACCCAAGCCCTGGCACCGCAGAGGGACGGAGCAGCTCTTCTGATGGTGAAGCTGGAGCGATTAGAAGGGGGGATTGAGTGACCTCAGAGGCTTCCCGCTAGCTCTGGGCTCTGAGCTCACAGACTTGATGGAAGGACTGTTCCCTTGGCAGCCCCAGGGCGTTGGGATGGGGGCCCAGACCTCCAGGGGAAAGAGAGCAGGTCTGTCTTCTGCTAGGACAGTGGTCGGCAAACTCATTAGTCAACAGAGCAACAAACCGAGGCTCGCCAGCTGCAGTTTGCAGACCACTGTGGGCGATACCTGCCTGTCCTCCACAGGTTGAAAGGCTCCTAAAGAGACTGTAGGTTCTCTTTAGCTCTGATGCCAACTGGAGCAGGGGCTCCATGAGGTCCTGCGAACAGGACCAGCAGCTTCTGCGAGCTTCCCAATTACACCTGGGCTAACGTCCGTCCGTCCATCCGTCCGTCCGTCCGTCCGTGCCGCTGTCCTCGACAAAGAGCTTAGGAATCTGCTCGCTGGGAGGGGCAAGGACTCCAAGGCCATTTTAGTCCTTGCCAGGCCCCGGGGAGCGTTCAGGCAGCCAAGCGCGGGGCACTCCTTCCTCCTGTCCTCTTGGCCAGGAGCTTTGCCTCCTCTGAACCCCCAGAAGGAGAGCCCACCACAGAGAGCTCAGCTGGCTTCCAAGGAAAACCTGAACCAGGCATTCTCATCAGGGGCAAAATGAGGGAAAGAAAGCAGACTGCTGGCTGCGTGTGGATCAGCCAGCCCAGGGTAATCCCCTCCGGTACCAAAGGCAGAGGCTCGGGAGCTGCTATCCAGAAGCCTGCTGGGCGGTGGTGTCAGCCTGGCCCCGCTGCCCACTGCTCAGCACTCCCACCCGCTTCCTTTGCCAACACTCCCTCCCCGGACACTGGGGGCCGCTGCGGCTCAATCCAGGTCACCCAAGGTGTGTTAGCCTCTAGAAAATGTCTCCTGGCTCTGTCTGTTCTGTGTCGAAGAGAAAATTCCTGCCAGTCCAGACACCACAGGGCTCTCACGGGGCTGGTCTGGGTGAGAGGCCCCACCTGGGCAGCCTTGGCCTTGCCACTAAAATTAGGCACAGCCAGGGCACGGCCAGGGCACGGTTGGAAACCAAGACCTATCTCTAGGCCCTACTTTAAAAAAACAAAACAAAACATATTTTTGTTGATTTGTGAGAGAAAAGGAGAGGGAGAGAGAGAGAAACATCAATGATGAGAGAACATTATGGATCGGCTGCCCCCTGCACGTTCCACACTAGGGATCCAGCCTGCAACCCAGGCACGTTCTCTGACTGGGAATCCAACCGTGACCTCCTGGTTTATAGGCCCACACTCAAACCCTGAGCCACGCTGGCCGAGCACAAGTCTCTCTGACTTCAGCTTCCCCGGGGAGACTTAAGGTCAGAGAAGGCGGGCGAGTCCCACAAGGGCCTGGCTGGTTTGGGGTAGACGCGGGATGGGTCTTCCAACTTTTTTTTCCACACCGCCCTGTGCCTCTGCACAGGAATACAAACGTTCTACCAAGTGTACTTCCCTTTCATTACAACCAAGTCCAAAAGCACCAGATCTCAGCTGTCCAAATATTATCCAGCCCTCGGCGTTTGGGTAAAAGTGACTTGGTTCAAACCCATCCCAAATAAATGGAAGTGGCACCAACAGGACAGGCATCCAGGACAGGCGGAGGCATGGAAACGGCCTATCTCCAGCAAAAGCAACAGCACCCAGCATCCTAACTCTTCATAACCTCCAGGTGCTGACAGCCTTGGGCAAAAACAGATGTCACCAGCACCTTTTTATTTACTTTTTTAAGGGAAAGGGCAAAGCGCATATTTTTACCAGTAGGTGGCAACAGAGTGATAAGGCTGAAGCAGCGAGTGTTTGAACATGTAAATCCTAAATATTTTGAACCTGGCAACCACCTCATTCAACCTGCCAATGTTATCCACAAAGGAATGAAGGTTCGCAGAGGGCATGTGACTTGCTCAAGGTCATACGCCTGGTTAATGGCTGAGCTACACTGAACTCCACTCCGCTCCCACCGTGAAATCGGAACGTGCGAGAGCACAGAGTGACTTTCAGAATCGCCTGCCATCTTAAACACGTGAACAAAAAGCCCACTGCTTTTGAGTGTGTTAATACTTCCAGCGTGCAGTAGGAGGGATGGGCTCTGAGAAATGAGACCGTTTATCACACCTTAGCTTTGGGCTTTCTGAGTTGGAGGTGGCTGGGGGAGTGGGAGAGTAGGGGAGGGAGAGAGGGAGTGAGGAAAAGAGGGAGGGAGGGAGGGAGGGAGGGAGGGAGGGAGGGAGGGAGGGAGGGAAGGAGGGAGGGAGGGAGGGAGGGAGGGAGGGAGGGAGGGAGGGAGGAAGGAAGGAAGGAAGGAAGGAAGGAAGGAAGGAAGGAAGGAAGGAAGGAAGGAAGGAAGGAAGGAAAGAAGGAAGGAGGGAGGGAGGGAGGGAGGGAGGGAGGGAGGGAGGGAGGGAGGGAAGGAAGGAGAAAAGGAGGAAGAGAGGGAGGAAAACAGCTGTTTGGGTATCTTTTTGACACTTCCTAACCTGCCAGTGTTACCTCCAAGCCCCTCTCAAACATGATTCCCCGCCCCCCCCCCCAAAAAAAAAACCAGATCAGGGACTTTGGGGTAGGAATCCCCCCTTCCCAGCCGCACTTTTCTCAGTTACCAGCCAGCACCAGCCTGTGTGCAGGGGGCGGGGAGCGTTAAATATTTTCTGCGGAAGGAATGCCAGGGGCCACTGGCTTTGTTCTGCTGGAGGCGCTCGGTGAGAAGCAGAGCCTCAGGAACGGAGGGCCTGCTCCCCGAAGGGGCCACGTTTCTCCAAGGAAGAGAACACAAACAGACGGGCGGCTGAGGCGAATGTAGCTGGAACAATGCTGGGTACACACTGTGTGTTTAACTGGCGCGGAGAGATGGATGGCGGATACAGATTTCAGCTACAATGAAAGCTTCTCTCAAAGTCTCAATAGTCCAAGGAAGAATTCACTACTTGGGTTGTACATGTAATGAGTTCCCCATCTCTGGAGGCATTCAAGCAGTAGCCATCCACTCGCTTTGGTGAGGATGCTGCAGAAGCATGCTGAAGCGTGTTTGGGTTGAATGACCTTTTAGGTCCCTTTGAATCCCAGGATTCCCACTTTCCCATGATCCTTCGTGAACAATGAGAGCAAGAAAAGGGCAAAGGTGTTTTTGTCTTTGGCTTCAGACCTTTCCATGAGAAAATCTCACACGTTTCAGGCTGCTTCATCCAAAAGTCTGTCACGCCCCCCCCCCCCCCCCCCCCCGCCCTGCCCCTTCACTGAACCTCCCGACACAGTTGGAAAATGTGATCATCCTGAGGGGAGGGGGCGGGGGTCACTGGAGAGACTGCTGGTTTCATCCAAATAACAAGTTTGTTTCTTTTTACTTTGAAAACCAGGGGACACGGACACGTGGAAACCTGGATCGGTCCTTCTGGATGCAGGTAACTATACAGCCCACCTCCTCCCCAGACCCGACGGAGACACACAGGACTCAGAACCAGGGAGGCCCATACCCACCCAGGCCCAGAGGCCAGGCGCTTTCACTCCCCCCTCGGGGCCTGCACAGGGGCCTGGGAACTCCCACAGGGGCCTGGGCTGAGGGGGGGGCTGTAATAAAGCGGAAGAGCAGGCTGAAGGCAGCAGAGGGAGGCAGTCCCCTGCCCCCAAAGGGGATGTAGACCCTCTCCCTCCGGACACACTGACTTCCCTCCATTTCCCCTTCCTGCTCTGCAAGTGGTTCTGAGGCTTCCCCTTCAGGGAAGGCACGCTGGTCACTGGTCGCTGCCTCACATGTGTGAAACGGCAGCAGTAAACCCGGACGTCTGGCTCTCGGTGCAAGAGGAGGGACAGAGGTACAGGAGAGGACTCAGCCCGGGACTCCCGCTTCCTCTCCTCCCTCCAATGAGGGGTCTGAGGCAGTTTCCTGAGAGGCTCCCGCTGAGAAAGGCCCACAGACACCCGGTGAGCTCTCTCAATGATGTGAGGAAGCGAGAAGAGCATGCCGACCCTTAATGGGAAGATGGAATCAGGTGCTTTGCAAGTTGGAAAAACTAACAAGCCGGGGAGCGAGCTCACTGCACCAGGAGTGGGCAGAGCCCAGCGGGGAGGCTGGGGGTGCTCTGAGCATCCCCAAAACAGGGAGACTCGCTCCCAGTGCCAGTTTCCCTCTGCCTGGGGGCTCACTGGCCTTAGCGAGCCTAAAAGAGTGCTTATGTGCTGTCTTTAACCCCTTACATGGTACAGGTGTGATCTTGGCTGCCATGCAAATGGCTCCTAAAAAACACACACACACACACAACCCTGCGGTTGAAATTCAGGTCCTACAGCCGCTCAGAGCACAAGGCCGCTTCGCACCGTTACTCAGAGGAGCCGCATTTTAGATCCTCTTGTTTGAGTTACTTGTACCTTTTCTCGGCCCCTCCAGTCTACATCCCACCCCGTAGGATGGTCCTCCTTGTGTCTCACTCATCTTTGTTCACTGACTCAGTCACCGAATGTCCGCCGAGGCTTGCGGGTGGTGGGCACGGTGAAGGTTCATGATGAGCGAGGCGCAGGCCCGCCCCTGGAGGTTTCAGGGTTTTGCAGAGGGAAAAACCACAGGGGCGAAGCACTTCACGCTCTCAGATAAGGAAACTGAGGCTCAAGCAGAGTGAGTTCACAGGAGGGGACAGAACTCAAAGTCTGACTTCCAATTCCTGTGAGCACCACCTGTGTCTTCAGTAGGCAGTCAATCAATATTCATTCCCTCTTATCTCTTACGATGGGGGTGGGGAGGAGAAGAGTACAGTTAGCAGTAAGCTGCCCCCCTCCCCCCCCCCCGCCCCCGAGCTGGGTGCGAATATCCATGTGTCCCCATCCCCCCGGGTAAGGCCAGAGGCTTCCTATGCTTCCGAATCACCAAGAGTTTGCTGCTCTTTCCAGGATTTGTCCCGAATGAAGAAACAAGCACACAGCCTCTGGACCCCGTCTCCCAGGGAGATCCGAGTGAGTTAATGAACAACGAGAAGCCCGGAGTGACTCTGACATCTCATCTGCTCGCTCCTCTCTTCCCACTCACTCCCACCCAAACCTGCCTCTTCCCGACCGCGGCTCTGCTTACCTCCTCTCTCCTGTCACTTTGTTCTAAGGGGAAAGGGGCGTTTTTGAAGGATTTAAACTTTCTGTGTGCTTGAGGGGGAGAGGATCAGACATTTGAAACATCACTATGGCAACAGGGCAGGATGGGGACACAAGAGCATGTGAAGAGAGGAGGCTGGCTAGTGGAGAGGATAGTAGGCAGAGCTCAGAGTTGCAGAGAAAGAGCAGATTCAATAGATATAAAGATGGGAGCATCTGCAGGACTGGAGGAGGAGTTGAAAGAGAAGGCGCAATGAAAAGTGATCAAAGCAACGAGGTAGAGGTGCTGCCCTGAGGACCACTGGGAACAGGGCAGGTTGAGGCAGGAAGGTCATTTAAGTCCATTTATCTTCTGCAAAACACTGAGAGCTGACTACCCAGACTACCCTGATACAACAGTCAGAAGGAACAGCCCAGCCGAAAATTTAAGAGTTGGAAGATGGATGATGAGGTATGGTTCAAAACCAAGCCAATGAAAACAGGCAATGTGACCTAGAACTTACACCTGGAAAACTTTAACACTAAATAGGTGAAGGAGAGGCCACCTGAGGATAGTAGAAAGGAGGGACCAGAGAAAAAGAAGAGAACCAGGAGGGAGTTGGGTGTGCAAGCCAAGGAGAGCATCGGCAAATTCCCCCAGAAGTTTACTGCGAGTCAGCCACCACTGGGCTGGGAGTCTCAACCCCACGGTGTATGACAACCATCTGAAGACATTTTAAAAAATTAAAGATGACCAATTCCTGCCTCAGACCTACCGAATCTGAGCCTAGCTCTTGCTATTGAAAGTGTGGTCTGGGGACCATTGCTTGTTAGAAATGCAGAAGGCCAGGCCCCCGAATCCAGTGGTGACTTTGCACAGTAACTCCTGACAAGCACAGCCCAGAGCGCTCCCCAGTCACCTTTATTCGCTGAAGCTGCCTAAGCGACTGACACTTACCCAGAAACACTGGCCTCATGTATTTATATGGCCAACACAAGGCATTAATAAAATTGAATCTTGTTGCAGAAAACCAAAGCAATTAAGAAAATTGGTAGATTGATTCCTATAGACGACATATCTTACCTTCTCTTTCTAGTCCTCCAGTCTCTACCACAGTAAATCGCTCATGCTCAACACTTCATATCCCACTTCCACCCTTTAGTACTGATCTCATCTCAATATGAGAAAGCCACTGGGTCTCAGTGAGCACATTAGATCATTCTGGGAAGTGGGGGAGGGGGGGGCAAAGTCGACCCCAATTCAGCCATCAGGCTAGGGAGCGAAGAGAACTACCCAAATAGAAAGCCACCTCACTTCCTCAAAACCTATACTTCTCAAACGTGAGTGTTCCCATGAATCATCACCTGGAGACCTTGATAAGAGGAGTTCTAACAAGGTCAGCTGCAGGTCTGGGTGGAGCCCATTTCCAGCAAACCAAAGGCGCCAGTGGGCAGCAAGCCCTGAAGAGCACCAGTGCCACCTGCTGGGAGCAATTCACATTGCAAGCCCAGGCCCAGGAAAGGAGCCCACAAGCCACACACGGCAGTTCCTCTTCTCTTTTGCTTTATCCCAGGCTTACGTGGCATCTTCCATCTCCACTTCCTGACTTATTTGCTCCTTCTGATCCTCATGCCGAGGGTCATGCTTAGGCAGAGGCAGTTTGGGGGCAGCAAGGACAGGGAAGGCCAGCTGAACAGGAAGAGTCAGCAGGCACTGTCCAGGCAAAAAGGAAGTTAGCAGTTTGCAAGATCCACTGATGAGCCAAGGCACCAACTGCAGCTGGAGCGGAGCCAGCCAGGCCCACAGAGGTCCCTGTCAAAGCCCACTTCCCTGGCTGGGATTGCCATGAACCACTGCAAGGAAATAAAGCACATTCTCACATGGAACTTTCCCCCTTAACCTGCCAGTTCAGTGATCTCTCTTTATTAAATAGTGCTCATCAGTTCTGCTTTTATTTATTTATTTTAAATATATTTTATTGATTTTCCACAGAGAGGAAGGGAGGGGGATAGAGAGCTAGAAACGTCGGTGAGAGAGCATCATCAACCAGCAGCCTCCTGCACACCCCCTACTGGGATGTGCCCGCAACCAATGTACATGCCCTTGACCGGAATCAAACCTGGGACCTTTCAGTCCGCAGACTAATGCTTTATCCACTGAGCCAAACCGGTTTCAGCATTAATTCTGCTTTTAAAACTGTGTCCACTCATGCCCATTTCTTGCTTTTATTAAAAACAAAAAGGACAACAAAAACACATAAAAACCCCTTGCTGCCTACAAAGCTCCTCCTCCTCTGGCCACAGGGGCACACTGCCCAGGCCCCGCAGGGAAGAGCTGCCCGGCGGCCCCATGGTAACCACGCAGCAGCTCAGAGACACCCAGGCTGGTCTGGGCCGCGGCACCACCTACCCTCACTCCTCCAGCCCAGGAACGCCTGTCTCTACTGCCTCTTCTTCTCCCCATCAAACTGGGTTTTGAAATTTGTTGTTTCCTGAATTGCAGTCATTAAATAATTCATTCCTCATTTTTTATTCATCAAAGGGCCATCTACCTCCCCTAAGAAATTCTGATCAGCACGGAATAATCGGTCTTAACATACTGAGAGGATATCACTTCAGCCAAGAGCAAAGAAGACACTAACTTTTATCGGTGTGTGTGGCTGTCCACCATTTCTGATTACTAGCGTTTAAAGGCTGAAGTAGCCTGCAGCCCCACTGTCCTCCCCTCCTCCATCATAACCTTCAAATATGCACAGAGGTCCAGAGGCACCGGGTAGAACTGTCCTGCTCATTATCGCAGCTGAACGACAGGACACCTAAGGTGGCTACAAACAAGCCCTGGCACCGGTAGATGCTTGTGGGCAGTAATTCCATGGTTGCCTCACCCCGAGGAGTGAGGGGGCAGATTACTACCAATTTCTCATCCTGTAATTCCTGCCGCTCAGCATTGGCTTTGTGGATTCTTTCCCACCTTTACAAAGACCCAACACATACTTCTAAAAAGTTAGATGGAGAGTAAAATCCCATATCTGGCAGAAACAGGTTTGGCTCCGTGGATAGAGCATCAGCCTGCGGACTGAAAGGTCCCAGGTTCGACTCCCGTCAAGGGCATGAACCTTGGCTGTGGGCACATCCCCAGTGGGAGGTGCGCAAGAGGCAGCTGATCGATTGATTGTCTCTCATCGATGTTTCTAACTCTCTATGCCTCTCTCTTCATCTCTGTAAAAAAAATTAAAAAAAATCAATAAAATATATATTTTTTTAAAAATCCCATAGCTGGGGTCTGCAACTCTATGGTCTGAGCCTACCGTGTTTCCCCGAAAATAAGACATCCTCCGAAAATAAGACCGAGCGCATGGAAAGATAAGACATCGCCTGAAAATAAGACCTAGCGCAACTTTGGGAGAAAAATTTAATATGAGACACTGTCTTATTTTCGGGGAAACAGGGTAGGACACGTTCTGAGGGCCTTCCCAGGCTTGACTGGAGGTCCCTGCTCTGAAGTCTGTAATTATGGCTGATACCGGGAATTCTAAAACAGCGGTGGTAAGAGCACTGGCCCACACACCCAGGACCTGGGTGCCCAGTATCGGATGTAAATAAGTGGATATACCCTGCATCTTGCTCCTTCTTTTTACCTTCTTTTCACTGAACCTCAGGGAGCTCTGGTGGAGAAGGAGGGGCTGGGGGAGCACGCACAGGTAAACGCAACGAGAGATCACAGAGTAACGGGCCCTCTTCTGTTCCTCAGACTGCAGGGTTGACCTGGCATTTTTAATTGACGGGAGCGCAAGCATCGGCGGGCGGCGCTTCCGAATCCAGAAGCAGTTCCTGGCTGACATCGCCCAGGCTCTGGACGTTGGCCCGGCGGGCCCCCTGGTGGGGGTGGTTCAGTACGGGTAAGTGCTGTTCCAATTCGGAAACCAAGAGGAGTCACACGCTTCATTTTGTGCCACAAATAATACCAGCGCGTCCATGAGCACAGACTCATTCTCTGCCCTGATACTTCAATGCACATGAAGAGAGACTGAAGCGATCCAGATGCCCCTTAAGGGGTCTGAGATTCCAGAAGGGGCAGATTACTGAACACTTGTAAGTGAATCCCATGTGTACTTGGGATTGGTGGAGAGGATAGTGATGTGGGAGTTAGGGCCTCTGGGTTCAAGTCTTAGCCGTGTGACCTTGAGCAAGGCCCCCACCTCTTACCAGTCTCCACCTTGACTAACAGAGCATCTGTGTGAGGGGCTGCGCCCTGTGCTCCCACATGTAAGGAAGATGCCTCGGCAACATGGAGCTTTGGCTTGAACTCTTTCTCCAAACACCCCTGGGCCTTCGCCCTGGCCCTGAGAAGCTCAGGCTGGGTGTGAGGCTGGGCGGGAGGGGGAGTGGCCCCATCCCTCAGCGAGCACCCAGGCGACTGTCCCCAATCTGTTTCATTGTTTTAGGGGAGAAACGGAACATTCGTATCCACTTCCCATCTCAACCTCTTCTCTTATTTGGGATAATACATTAATCTTATTTCAGATACAAATAGGTTTCTCCCTACACAGATATTGACAGATAACGAGCAAACTAGGAAAAGATCAAGCAAGCACAAATCTCAAATAATGGGTTGACTTTTAATCAAGAGACACTCAGGGCAGAATAATTATCTCCCTTTCCACAAAGGGCTATCAGACACAGCATGACACCCCTCCCAGGCCTGCAGCTTGGACTCGAAGGGGACACTAACCTAGACCGTGGTGCCTCCTGCTCAGAAGCAACAACACAGCTTATCTGCTCCTCCTGAAAAGCAGCAGCATTCATACCCGACAACACCCAGGGGCCCTCCAGACCCTGCACACATCTCCTGAGGATCCCTCAGAGCCGTGTGGCCACCGAGGCCGTTCCATGAAAGACACGAGATATTTATGTTTGAGTTGTCAAGAGAAATAAACAAAAATGCCTTCTTTTCTTAAGAACTATAAGTAATTTTAGAATTAAATTTCAAGAGCACAGTTAGCACCATCTTCCATTTCAATCAGATGAGTTAACTGATTCTTGTATAGAGTTAAGAGTCAAATATGTGGAAACAGCCCATGCTTACAAATGCCAACTCTCAATGTCAAATGATCTATCTTGAGGAATTTAACTTGAAATGGGAAAATACATTCGTTTGGTCACTGTTTTCTTGTTTTCAAAATGTCAACCTATTTCATTCCTGTGTCACTTTTCAAAGGTAGAAAGTGGAGAGCGAGCTTCTCCAGGGAGGAAATGGAAGCGTTTTTTGAGCCAGATGGCCCCAGTCAATGGTATTGGGGGGAGGGCGGCAGCTTAAGACTTGCTATGTCATCTTGAATTAAAAACGGCTGCTTTAAAGGCTGTGTAAACCGAGACTTATCGCATACTATGAAAATAAAGTGATAAATATGTCAAGGAGAAGAAAAATTGCAGAACAGTGTTGTGTGCTGATGAGAGAGAGCGTGGATGGAAGAACAATATAAATATAGCAGGGAAGGAAAAACAATTGAAGAAAGACTCCGTTCCCTCAAGAAAACCCCAAAAATCTTCCCCCGTGTTCCTAATGTGAACACCATTTGCAGTTAAAAGTTTATCTCCCACACTTTCTAAAAACGACTTTGCTATTTGTCTTCCTCCCCCTCACCTGAGCTCCTTATTAATTTGGAGCACAGAAGGAGACTATGTCTGTTTTCCTTCACTCAATGCTCATACAAACTAACCCATCATCCTCACCCTCCTACAGCCACAGAGTGGGGTGGGAAGCACAAGGAACTGGTGACAGGCTGTCTTGAAATCTGGCCCGAGTCCCGCTGTGTGACCTTAAGCAAGTCACGTACTCTCTCCATGGAAGTGCTGCCATCTATAGAGTCCAGGGTGGAGCAGATGGCTTATCGGGCCTGCCCTCTGTAATTCAGGGACCAGCTCTGCACTGGGAAGACATCCAATCAATGAATGCATCGGACTAACAGACTGCATGAGCCGCCTCTCCCTGCAGCCTGGGTTCCCAGTAGATGGATGATCAATAATGAAATAATGAAATGCTGGCGTGCACCAAGTGACACATCCACCGGTGGGCTGTGGGGAACACAGCTATTGAACGGGGTAATGAGAACGAGCTGAAATTGCTTTTGATGTCAGCGGCCTGGCTTCCTTGCCTGGGTGGGTTCCCTCTATTCTTTTTTTTTCTTTCTTTTCTGTCTTTTTCTTTTAATCCTCACCCAAGGCTGTTTTCCCATTGTTTTTTAGAGAGAGTAGAAGAGAGAGGGAAAGACAGAGAGAAATATCAATGTGAAAGAAATACATCGATTGGTTGCCTCCTGCACAAGCTCTGACCAGGCCCAGGCCAGGGAGGAGCCTGCAACTGAGGTCCGTGCCCTTGGCCTGACTCCAACTCGGGACCCTTCAGTCTGAAGGCTGATGGTCTATCCACTGAGAAAACCCGGCTAGGGCTCCTTTATCCTTTCTTTTTCAAGCTGTCTAGGTGCATAGGGAGAGAGGCAGTGGGGCAGGAAAGAGTAGGGAGACAGAGGTAGATGCCACTATGGAAAAGGAAAAGCAGGCAGGCCAGCCCCTGGCACACCGGGAAACTGAGAACTCTCCTGGCATTTGGGGCCCTTACCGGAGTCCAGTGCCCTCTACACGCCTGGCAATCACAGCGCACTGGGCCTTAGAAAGCCCCTGGTCCCATCTCCTCACACTATCGTGAGGAAAGGAGGCTAAAAGGAGTGACACCCCTCAAGAACCAGTACTCAAGGGGAGGCTTAGGTGGCAGGAGCTGGTCAAGGAGGGAGGCCCCTGAACCCTGGAAGCTCCCATTAAGGTACCGGCCACTGGCCCACCCGGTCCCAGGAGGGCTCCTGTCCTTGGTTCTTCTCAGGAGAGCTGGGTCAGGGTTTACACGTTCATGTTTAAAATTAGACTTTTAAACTCTGAATTGAAAAAAACTCATACTAGGTATTAACGGAAATAGAAGACAGTACTAAATATGTTCATGGGATTTAATTCTGAAAATACTTATCGTTCTTATGAAAAGAAGGCAAATAAATAAAAAATACAAGAAATGTAAACATGGTCTGATTTGCAAAATGCAATGTTCATCCCACACTCTGACCCCTGGGTGTCCCTCACAAAGATCTTTGGGGTACAAGGAACAGAACCCCAGCCCGGGCTGCCCAGATGAAGGGGGACCTGTATCACAGGACTGCCAAGACCATGGTCATCCCCTTCCTCCTCTTCTCCTTGCATCTGTCTATCTGTCTGTCTGTCTGTCTTCCTACTGGCCCACTCAGGTCTCCTCTCAGCAGACCAGTGTCGCCCTCTACCAGGCTCTTGGGTTCTGCTCCCTGTGACTTCACCTTGCACCGAGCTCCACCTCTGGTCCAGGCCAGGACTGAGCCAAGGCTGAAAATTATCAACTGCAGAGAGGGAGGGCACTGCCCAGCTTCCCAGTACAGAGTGGCAGCGCCCACCTGGAATGCAGACCTCTCCCCACCCCACACCCACAGTGCTATTCCCCCCTCAGCCTACTTCTCCTTTACAGGAACTACCAGAACCCCGGAGCAGCTGCCTGTCTTCTGCCTGGAACAGGCGCTCTCCAGGGCCTAATGGCACCAGCAAAGACCCACCGTGCCGTTCCCTCCCCTCTGAGACAGGCAGGCGAACCCATGAGCCAACTCCGCAGGGACAATCTCAAAGCTGAGTGAGCTGTGGAAACAATTTGCACAAAAGTCATATCCTTTATTCCCCAGCATGCAGTTCTCCCGCAGGTACAAATACCACGGACCTGCATTTGACTTTCTCCACTTCCACTCAAGGGCTCCCCTTGGACTCCCTCTGCATGGACACAGGGCTTATCCGACGCCTCTGGGACCATTCTCCCAAGATCTCCAGACCCAAGAGAAGCAGATGATCACCCCAACACACATTAGGACCACTTGGGGAGCTTTTGCAAAATCCCACCGCCCAGACCAAACCTCAGATGAATTAAATCAGAATTCCCCTTCAGCGCTCCCCAGGTGATTCTATTGGGCAAGCAGAGAGTGAAGGCCCAAGTATTTCCTCAGGCCTGTGCTGTCCCCAGGTGAATCCCAGGCCATCCCACCTGTCTGGAGGGCCCTAGGGGCTCCACCCCCTCCCTTTTTTCTTGGCCTTTCTCTTCCTCTGGACTCCTTCTTCCTCTCCCTCCTCTCGTCACTGGCAGCTCCACTGCTGATGTTTGGGATTCTTACAGCATCCAAGTCACTGCTACTCAAAGCGTGACCCACAGTAGCATCCCGGAGGCTGTTGAAAGGCAGATCTCAGCCCTCACTCAGCACAACGGGATCAGAATCCCCATGTGATCAGATGAGTTCAGGAAACTCTACTGCCAGGACATACCCTGACCCAGTGTGAAGCCGCAACCAGCACAGCTAGGATTCAGGATCTGAAGAAAAGGCTGACGCACAAATGAATACACCAGACAAGAAATTTGAATTTAGAAATCATGGGGGAGCCAGGAGGATAACTTCCCTCTAGCGGAGAAGCTAACCTGAAAACTTGATCCTGTCTGGCTTTTATTTACTTGAATACACATTTGCCCTTTAGGGATGCAAACAGGCATATCAAAGGTAGAGTCTGGTAAACAGTAAAAGGATTATCAGGTTAGGGGACTGCCATGAGCCATTTGGCCAACAGCAGAGCAATATTATGCTGATTTTTTCAGCCCTGCTGAATATCAGTCCGTTAGCCTTAGTGGGACTTTCGCATTAACATGCTAACTACTGTTGGTCTTTGCCTCCAGCAGGCCAGCACTTTTCAAACCCTAGGACATGGTTACACACCAGACCAGCGAGCCCGAGTTCCTCCCAAGCCAGCAGATTGCACACCTGCCTTTCCTCCTGCAGGAAGAGGCATGCATGTG